GTACTTGCTAAATCGTAGTGCTAAATATGTCCACCTCAATATAAACAATCCTTACATAAAAGCTTATAAGGCCGATGTGCAAAAAATCCCTGAAGACTTCATTCAAGCCTTGCGCTACAAACCTCCCCCAATACTTGTCCCACTACTTAGATGAGTGCGACCGTAATCTCTACACCATTCCACTTTATAACCGCGACTTTCGTGACCCTAGTCACAAAGTTTATCGCTAGTCTGGCTTAGATGAACCTATTAAGCCTATCTGTTCACATCTCTCTCCCCTGATTACTGGAATGAAGTTTCCTCCATTCTTCTCCATTCCTTCCTAAGATGTGGTTGTAGTGGGTTCAAATCTGTCAAATCACACTGTAGTTTTCGGTGCTTTCCAGCTACTGCAAACAAAAAAAAAAACAATGTGAAAGAAAACAACAACAACAATACCGTAGCTATATCTAACAAAATTGAATCTCTAATAATACTTCTGTGATGTGTAGAAATTGAAAAGAGGCAAATATGGTATACTAGAACTAAAAATCGTAGTCAAGGAACACAAATAACATTGAATCGGGCATACACTGCGAAAATCAAGCTCATACATCTCCAGTCTGGACAAACTCTCGAATGCAATCGTTAAGGTAATCGATGATTATTATGCGATCTACTAAAATTCTATCAATACACCTAATACAGGTCATTTTTTTATATATATTCTTTTTGCATACATATTTTTGCAGAACGGACGGCAGGCCTGAGTGAAGTGCAGGGAGGAACGAATCCTTCACAATTTGCTAAGAAAGCCGTTTTGATTCCACAATTCCTTGTAATAATAACTAGAAGAATGGTCATGTTAGAACCAACCAGTAACATTAATAATACGAGTGTCCGGCCAATACTGGAATTATCGCCGAGTGTCTTAAGGAAAATGATACGCAAAAGCTTAAGTCTGGTTCCGGGCAAGACTGGAGATAAGCACAACTTTTGTTCTGGAGTCTTTTCCTCGAGCGTCAGTAGACATGTACTACGAGAAATACTACAAGGTAGCAATTTGACTTCGTTTGACTTAATTAATTTGAGTGCTTAGTACTTAATTTGTAACATTAAGTATATTAATATTACAATATATATAGACAAAGTAGTGTGGTAGGATAGATAAGGCAATGAAAAGAAAGCAAAGATTAGAAAAGAAAAAGATTAGAAGAAAAGAAAAAGATTAGAAGAGAAGCAAAAGAAAAGTTGAGCTAAGAGTTTTTTTGCATGAAGATAATAAAAATATCAAAAATAAAGTCGTACAATAGATAATTAAGTAAAGTTGTATATAATAAAAATTTTTATAAAAAAAATTTTTTTATAAGTTAAAAGTTGAATATAAATTTAAATAAATTATAAAAAATATTAAGAAATGTTGCATATATTTTCACTATTACATTGTGCCGAAAAGTTCCGGCATAAATTAATAAAGCAAATCTTAATCTTCATCATTTTATTTTATCTTCTTCAAATTTGCCCATTAGAAGCGATACACAAATGCAACGTTTCTTCCAATCATCAAAACATTTTATAGGCGCTTTCCGGTATGGCTTTGAGTTCCCTCTGCGAATTCTGTTTTACGTCTTCTATGGATTCAAAACGCGTTCCTCTGAGTGGTAATTTGAGGTTGGGAAACAGGAAAAAGTCACACGGTGCAAGATCAGGTGAATACGGTGGCTGTTCGATGGTATTTATTGAATGTTTGGCCTTAAAATCGTTGATAATGTTGAACAAATTGAGGTGAATCGGAACAAGCCGGGCGTTGACACGTCGCATACACAAATTGTCCACCAAAATCAAACGAGCCATCTCACGACCGATGCCTAGCTCTCGTGCTATCTCTCTAACACTCACATGAGGATTTTTGAACACGATTTCCTTTGCCTTTTCAATGTTTTCGTCGGTGGTAGAGGTCGAAGGTCGTCCAGAACGCGGCATGTCTTCGACGGTCGTACGACAGTCCTGAAAGGCTTTGTACCACTCATAAACTTGAGTTTTCGATAAAACTGATTCCCCATAAGCCTTTTGTAGCATTCGCAACGATTCTGCACACGAAATTTCGTTCGAAAAACAAAATTTGATGCAAACTCTTTGTTCAATATTTTTTTCCATTGTTTTTTTCGCAACGCACTACTGAGGTGAACTGGTTTCAACAGCTGCCGTAAACGAACTGTCCGACAGATCGCGCTCATTTTTGCAAGTAATTAAGGACAGTGCTGCCAACTACATAAACTTAAAATATCGAAAAATATACAGCGCGCGAATTTTAAATGAGAACCTCCGAAAACCTTTCGGTCACAATGTATATATATATTAATATAATTTAATATATAATTTTATTATTTATAATTTTAATATAATTTTGTATTTCATTCAATGTTTTTTATTTCCAAAAGTCAATACAAATTTATTAAACTAGCATGGTTCACAACCAATTTTGAACTGTTTTATCGACTGAACGTGCTTCGTGTAATTTTTTTCTGAGATTACATTAAATCATTTGTGGCAATTAAGATATTTTAACGTTTTTAAATGATATTCTTATTACATATTTTCTTTTAATGTGGTATTATTATTTCAAAAAAATACATAATTATTATGTAGCATGGCAAAACGTACTGAAAAATTATTAAAATTTATTTCAACAAAGCTTTTTCAGTTGTTGACAAAAAATGAAAACCAGATGGCGCAATCTCCAAGTTTAAATTCAACTTTTAGCGCATAAATTTAAATGAACGTTTTTAAAATATTTACAAAAAAATATACGAACAAAAGAAATTTTTTAGAATAAATTTGAAAATTTTTTTTTAAAAAATAAGTAAATCGCATTAAAAACAAATAATTTTTAAATATAGTTTATTTTCAAATTTATTTTCAATTAAATGTTATTAGTTATAAATTATAGTAAAATTTTTAAGATAATAAGATTGTATGAAGATATGCTGTGATGATATGACGCAGAATAAATTTTATAGTATATTTTTATAACGCAGAATATTATAGTATCTTAAAGTCGTATACCTAACTCTCGATTTTTTCACGATTTCCAAATAACATTCTTCTCAAGGAATAATAAAATTTTTTTTTTGTAAAATTTAGTATTTGTTGTAACACAAGTTCTATAAACGATCAATTGTTATAACAGTCAGTCTAGTTAAAAATACTTTATAAAGGTAAAAAAATCAAAAATTCAATCAAGATCTTTATATATATTTTAGAAGAACTAAAAAACTACCTTTATTTATAGACATAGCGGTTTGAAAGACGTGACTATCAGAATTATCAAAAAAGTGAGGATTTCATTTGACACTCAGTAACTTCTGGATCCGATCTAATTCCAGATATATGCCAAGCTGTCATGTTCGAGATCTTTCAAACTTAAGCGGTTAAAAAAAACCAAAATTAAGTAAGAAACTTCTTAATAAAACAGATTCTTCAATTAATTTAAACTCTAGATATAACTAGACTTACCTAGTTATCAAAAAAGCAATGTTGATCCACTTGTTTTAATAAAAAGAATTCATTTTTTTAACATATATTTTATTTTACAGAGGTTTCGAAATGTAGTGAATTACAACAACAAAAAATTTTTTATATTATTTTAATTAATTAAAGTTTAGGCTGACCATTTAGCAAGCAGTTTCGAGTATTGTCAAATATCTGTTCATCAGTTGTCTTGAAATTATTTCTTATATTTAATTATTCGAAAATAATTTTTTCATGCCTACAAGTACCAGGGATTGAACTCATGCCCTGCCAAATTTGAAGCTCAGAGTCTGTATTCATTAGCCAGCTGCCCCAAAGCGGTACTTGTCTTATATGTTCGCACTTTGGAATTTCGTTCATTTGCTGCAAAAGTTTATTAACAAAGTCACTTGCTGTGTTATATTAAAACGAAATCATAAACCAGAATTATTAAATTAATTAAAATATGTTTTTATTTTTTAATTGTTAAATTCCATTTTTTATTTTATTACTTTTTTTTTTTATTTTTTTTTTTTTATTTTATTTAAATTCATTCAATTCTATTTTCCAATGCATTCATTTCTTGTAAAATTGCTTTAATATTATTAAATTTATTAAGTGAAAAAAATTGCAAGCCATAAACGCCAATATCGCTATCGAATATTTCCGTGATCATTTCTAAAGTCTTCTGTACTGCAAACTCCTGAAATTTTGTTGGATTGTGTCTATGTTGTCTGTACTCAGCAAGTTGTTCTGAAGACATGGTAACTGAAAAAAAAAAATAGTAAGAAATGTAATCTTTTTTTTCTAAAAATGTGATTAATAAAGACGACTTCGCGGTCTCTTATGGAATCCCCCAATGCGGCGTCACCCAATTTACCTTTAGTTATCTCCATTAAACGTATTAAGGTACGATAGTTTTCTGGAGAATAAATACCGACGATGATAGGAACGTTGATGTCATTTTCCCGACAATTTTTAATGAAATTAATTATAGTTTCCGCCGAGAAGCAAAGTTGAGTGATTATAAAATCCGCACCTGCATTCACCTATAAAGAAATAAATGTGAAGAGGGGATTTACAAAAATTTTAAATAAAATTAAAATCAAAATAAACAAAGCAAAGTCTGTTGTTTAAATACTAAAAAAATGGTTTCCGGTTTTCTTGGCTGAATTTAGACTAACAACTTCAACTAAAATTGCTCCTTTAGTCGTTTTTTCTCTATTAATTTTTCTGTGTTAAATGAAGAATTAATATTTTTGGTCAAAAGTACCAAAGGGGAATTTTTTAGAAATGTTAATATTTAATTTTAATTTTTTTATTTTTTTTTTTAATATTTCAAGAGCAAAGCCGCATCAAATGAAGAAAAAGTCATTTGTAGTTTGACTGTTAAGTTTGCTCAGCAAACAAATTGGAACGAGAAATCCAATATTCTATGCTGCGGTTACATGGACTTGGAAATACTGTGGACTTAATTTTTATTTATTTTTTTTATTAATTGTTACATTAAAAGGTGTTAAGTAAATAATAATTACCGGTAATCAATTTTAAAATCGTATAAATTATGTGTCTAATTTATTGCAATTTCATTCGACGACTGTAATTGCAGCTGGAAATAGCGAGAAAATTCTCGTTGTAAACTTATAATTATAATTATCATTAGTAATAATTAAAGTTCATTGCTTCATTCTTTTCTGAGCTTAATTAATAATTATCGTTATTAAGTATTACTACACCGTAAGTTATTTGATTTTATTAGTTTATTTTACTCAGTATTTGTATTATTATAAAAATTACATTGAAAAAAAAAATAAATAAATATTCAGGGGATTCACAGAATTATTTAAAAATTCGTAAATTTTAAATAAACAAAAACTTATATTGTCGGAAAAAAAAATTCAAAATAATTATTCAGAAATAAGATAATTTTCATTATTATAGTAATTTTCTGCACTATTTATTTAAAGTTAATTTTAAAATTCTAAATAAATATTATTATTTCACAGATAACATTATAAATATTTATACTAAATTTATTTTTTTTTTCTTTTTGTTTAAAAATAAATTAATTGAAATATATATGGTGTACAGCTCTTACTGTGACGGAGTGCAATTTTTCTATAAACAAAAAAACCAACACACAAATTTATAAATTCTTAACGATTAACATAATTTCTAGAAATAAAACCTTAATAAAAAATAGTTTATTATTATTTTTTCGGACAACCCAGCTGCCATTAAATCACTATTAGGCACTACAGCCACAACTCTAACAAATCGAGAATGCTCGGCTATATCCAGAAACGTACATGGATTTCAGTACACAGCTCAGCATTTTCGAATTTTTAGAGATGTGACTGTAGTGCATACCTAGAATTTAATGGCAGTTTGAACTGTATCCAGAAACGCAAATGGATTTCTCGACACAGCACAGAATTTTCGAATTTTTAGAAATATGATTGTAGTACCTACCAGGGATTTAAAGACAGCTTGGCTGACTGAAGAAATAAAACTAAACTATTTTATGCAGAAACGCACATGGGTTTCTAGACACAAGAATATCGCGCACAACTGTAGAGCGGACGAGTTTGCAGACATTCTGCTTCCTGATCTTCACTGTTCAGATATTGATGTCCCACTTTCAACAGTTAAATTGGCAATCAAAAAAACATATCTGAGTATAGCAAAGCAAAATTTTGTAGACGTACCCAGTTGTCAGATATCTAGATTTATCTGGTCTAAACTAAACAAAAAACGCACCAACCAGGTGTTGTAACCCAATTCGGAACTACAGTATTGGTTTTGACAAGTCACTGCATAATAGAAAGACATGAAACTGAGTCTACTTTTGTCGAGGTTATGGTTCCGCAGTTGAGGAGGGAACTAATCTCCGCCTCATGTGTCATGTGTATCTTCTTCTTTACGATTTAATAACTTTGGGGACAGTTTTCTTAACGACCTAACCGAGCTATTATGATTTATAATGTATACGATAGTTCAGTTAGTCATACATGAGATTTAAAACTATATCATAAGAAAGTATTTACAGAAAATCACAAATAAATTAATTCTTAAAAATGTCACTATCCTAGTTCAATTAGTCGAGAAACTGCGTTTAACCGAGCAATTTTAGGTTAGTTTTTTTTGAAACCATTTTTATACAAGCTATGGTATATGAAGTTCAATAAAATTAATTTTCTAAAAACAACTAGTGAAATAGAAACTAGTAAATATGAACTACTAGGTTTATTTACCATGGACTCGTGCTTTTAAAGGACCCTAGTATATCATGTCATTCAAGTCTAAGTATTGTATTTACAATTATCGGCTTATATTTAATGATCTGAATTGAACAGTTAATTTATTTATTAAAACTGTAAATCAATATAATCATAATGAATAAATTTGATATTCAACATTGAAGCTCATGTAATTTGTAAGAAATGTTGGAATTATGATTAGAAGAATATTATTTAAAATAATAAATATTAATTCACTTAACAAGTGAGTTTAAAAGGCATAAGTAGCCAAAGTGAGTGACAGATGAATACAAAAAACTTAGAAAATGACTTCAGTATTCATATACTATAACATACTGACCTTTAGAACATATACTATATGTAAATGATTTGATATAGAACTTTAACATTACAAACCATTAACCAATGTTTCTATACTATAAGAGAAGAGAGGAAAATAAAAGCTTCATCAAACTGCAAATTCCACTAGAATAAATTTTTCATTGCTTTATAGAAGCAATTGTTGAGTTAATTTTGAATAGACCACTTATATTGCAGGAAAATACAAAAATATAAAATAAAAAGAAATAAAAAGATATTATTTCCTTAGTCAATTAGAAAGCTACAGGATCTGATATTCACAAAGAATAAATAACATTAGTGTAGCTTATATTAGGTCCCGTAAAAAATTAAATTGCTTGTCTTCAAGAAACTATTGCAAGTATTAAAGCATCGAGTATTGACTTCTTGCACCATAACATACATATCAAGCCGTCAGTTGGTAGTCACTTAATAATTATAATTTCGACTTTAGATATAATAAACATTATTGTATTACATTATGTATAGTAAGATTATGTATATATTGTAGTATCTTATATTTTATATTACAGTAAGATATGATATTAGGAGAGAGTAAGATTTTGCACAATATTTTTGGAAAAAGAAAAGATGTGACCTTATCGCAAAAGTAATCAGTCAGTAATTGCTCATTCAATATAAGTCATTTAATGGCAAGGTAAATGTAATCTGTACCAGAAGCCATTATTTCCATATTTTACTTTAGTTATTGTGAGCTGAAATGTTGAGGGAAGCGTTACGCAATCGGGTGTAAGAAGGTCCTTAACGATGCGAGTGACCTTGGCTCATTATTTACCAAATTTCCAAATGTTAAATAATATTATTTTTAATATGTAAAAGGGACAAATTTTTCATATTTAAAAATAGTACTGCTATGATGCATAATAAAGGCAACAATAAAGCACTTTGGAAAATATACAAACTATAAATAGTGCTTTTTGATATTAATTCTTTTTTTCAAATTTGGAGGTTTATATGTTTATATGTTTTAATTTTTATTTTTTTTTTTTTGCCGGAATTTGACTTTGACTACTTCCATATTATTTTTATAAAAATATATAAATTATCTCTGATTCGAGCGTACTTTCTCCTATAAATGGTAACACCATAATGTAACTCAGACACTGCTCACATATTATATTATATTATATTATACTTTTATAAAAATATATAAAATCATAATAACTTTACCTTTTCTTTGAGATGCTGTATATCTTCCTCAATTGTTGGACAATCGGGGTGGCCTTCTGGATAGCCCCCAACTCCTATTGATATATTATCTGAAATAGATTATAAAATATTATTTAAAAATATTTTATAAAAA